AAGTATTTCATTATCTTCGCGACAACGAGTACCCCAATTCTTACAACAAAGACCAGAAGAGGAACACCGTTATTGGGGTTGTTTTTAGTATATAAAAGTGTTTAAAAAATGGGGGTCCATATCCGCTAAAGGGGGTCCATATCTACCAGGAGATTTGGACCGGGGGGTCCATATCTACTAGGAGATTTGGACCGGGGGGTCCAAATCTACTGGGGGGTCCAAATCCGCTGTGACACCGGGCTTGTTGGCAGACTTGCTACAAGATGTGAAATTTTTGCGTGTCTAACTCCAAACAAAAAGTGCATCTTTTTTCTGTGAGTGTTTGGCTGTCGAGCAATCTTCCATCAAGTTTATATATGTTTCATTTTAATTCTTTCAAATTTTAAATCATATCACAGTATTCATGCATATGCTTAACTGCCGATAACCTACCTAGCATGGTGCCATATAGGTTCTGATGCAAAAAAGCTAAGACCTGTAAGATCCACTATAACAGAAGAAACGAGAGCAAATATTTAAATTTCAGTTTACCAATACACATTTACACATGAATGCATTGTTCACTGAAGATATTTCTTACGTGGTGTTAGACCGTCGGTCGGTGAAGTAATTTTCGCACCGCCATTCCTGTACGCCATTTTGCTAACTTTTGTGTTGGTTCTTGCAAAGTCGATCCTTAATGCTTGGCTCACTTCAGGGTCAAAACGTACACCCTAAAACAAGAGAACACTGTCAAAGTTTCTGTGAACACAGTATAGCAATTTTGCCTAGGTAAATTCTAAGTTTCGAAAGATTTGCAAGAAATGTTTGAAGGAACTGACTGAACACTGAGTTGTTAGTTCCTTCAACTGAAACATTTCTGTTACAAATCCTTCAAAACGCTTGCCTTTCAAGCTTTCATAGTCCCCCCCCCAGAAATCTCCGCTTACCTGAAGGTCGTTTTTACAGTCTTCTGCATCTTCTCTTTCCAGAAATGTAACAAACGCGACAGGCTGAAGAAGAAATATTCAGTATTACAAAACCTTTTAATAATAGTTCAAAATCAGTTTTCAAAGCTAAGTCATATAGTGAAACTCCTGGATACTAAAACGTCTAGCTTACCGATGGCTTGCCCTGTTTATCTGTTAGTTTGAGTTGAAATCCTTCATAACCCTAGGAAACAACAATGGAAACTTAGTTACGTGAGATAATTTATACTTATCAAGTATCTCGGAGGCTCTCTGGTTTATATTTTTGAGATTTTAAGAATAGTTCTGGTTTCGCCTCAAACATATTTAAATGATAAATGCTTGTTGTTCTGTTATTCAAAGTTATAAAACAACCATTAACTGTTTTTGCCAGTGTAGGTAGTGGCAATAAAATGAACAAGCTTTCGTTGCTAGAGTTGCAAATACCTGAAAATATATAAGGAGAATTGCGACGTTTCGAGCGAAGGCCCTTCGTTTGGAGTTAATAGAGAGCTTATCGTTTATGTACGTCAAACGGCAAACGCCAGGCAAAGAAAAATTTTACGGTATCAGGCAATAAAGAGTAAATAAACTTGCCGTTTTAAAACTGCAATGCATGATTATTCCTTCGACACAAGAAAGAAAATATGAAACGAAAACGTTCAACGAAAATTTTGCCAAGGAAGTTCGAACCTGCCGTTTGCCGTTCCAGGAAACGTGAAGCTTAAAAACTCCCTAATGTTTCTGAGTAACTCCAGACGAAGGCCTTCGCTCGAAACGTCGAAATTCTCCTTATATATTTTCATGTAGTTGAATCCCTATTCCCTGCCAACGAAAGCTTAAACAGTCCTTAGCATATTGTTTAGGAGTTATTTTTGTTGCTAACTACATGTATTATTCGCGACAGTCTGTGTTAATTGAGAAATATTCCTTTTTGAGTCTCAGCATGAGTTTTCCAACGTGGCACAGTGGCGATCTTTCAGGCTTTGAGGGAGAACAGTTTTATAGAGTTTTGACAGAACTTAGATTGGTTACGTTTTTATTTCCTCAAAATTCATTGCTATTGATAGCTATGATAACACAATAATCACTAAGAATTTAAGGTAGATCATTTTGTCTTATAATATAAATGTTTAATATTAATAATCTTAAATAAATATTGTCCGGTAAAATGCAGGTCGATAATTTCTTTGATGCTTTGTACAATTAGACAGTAGTTATCCACTAAAAAACACTCGTATTAAAAGACTGCTCTACCTACGCTTTTAACTAACCACGACTACATTCGAAAATTTACCACAAACGAAGAGACTACCTGTATTTTTAAACACCACAACCTGCTAACCGAAAGAACATTTTTTAACCGCATACGTCCAAAGTACGCAAAACGTTTCCGAAAGACGCGTTCTTGTTTGTCCGAAAGGGCTTTTAGACTCCTTAACTTCGTCTATTGACAAGTGCAACACTTAATTAAAGATTTATTACCAGTATTAAACCAAACAAGTACTTTGCATGCTAATAACCTAGTTCCATTCGGCAACGTTGCCTAGCGAGAATTGTTATGGAAAACCGCTCTGAAAAGTCAATAATACCACGTAATCCCTATTTAAAAACTAAACGATTCACTCCCAAACTAAATTCATTTTTAGCCCTGTTGTTAAGATTGATGATATTTGGTATTTATTTGTCTTCGCAATGGCGGAGTCGTGTTGCGATCTTTTCAATTTAACAAGCTGAATCATGCATGAATTCTTCATGTTTCCACGGTTACGCGGGCCAAATCAAACATTTGTCGACGAGTTCCAGAATGTTTTAATATAAAACGGAACTTAGAACTTAAGTTTGCAAATAAAAGTTTCCAAAAACACGTTTCTGATTTACACGAGACCAGTTTCGGTATCTTAAGGATTGTTTAAGAACATAATGGTTTTTTAATTTATTCGTTCGAGAAACAGCTTGTGTTTAACACTTGCAATGCACACGACCTTTATTGTCGCTTGACAATTACTCATTCCCAACAGAACGTCGTTAATTTTACGGGAGTTGCCCTAGGAAATGACATCCTTTCCCAATACCGGTGAAATTTCATCCTTACCAAGTCACATGGCGAAATTCGAGTACTTCTCGCGGCCTCTCGTCGCAACATTCAGGAAACGAAACAAAGATTATGTAAATCGCACAGAAAGCTTATAAAGAAAGGAATTTGATATTATGTTCTGCTCAGACGGCTATAAACATGTTAGGCTAATTATTGTCGGCCATTCGAAATTATTCTGAACGCACCGAAAACCTTGGTAACCTGATACATTCGCCCAGGACAGCCCTAACGCCGTAACGGTTTTTCAGCGATTATAGGTATTATATGACGGGTTAGGGGTTAAAAACCGAGTATAGTTTAACATGCTTAACGACTTACACGATGCTTTACAGAACAATCATATTAGAAAGCATGACAACACATAATGAAAATTGAAATAACTACTCCCAATTCGTTTTTAAAAACAGATATATTGGTTGTGAAATACAATACCTCAGTTCCTACGGCTTTCATCCGTGCTTTATACATTTATATACGCTTATATTGAAACAGTTAATGGTTACAAAATATAGATAATCGATGTATAAATACATTTTAAAATTCTTCATAATATCAAGAGAGTTAAATTCGCCAAACAGATGTGATCAACGCAGCCTACCTTCAAGCAAGCTTATTGGGCAAAGACCCCTGTGGTAACACCGTTATTCGTATACAAATTTAAAGAAGAGGTTTTACCTTATAGGCACGGAATAATAGATATATCTCTCTGGATCTGACATTAGCCGGTAAACCACTCACAAACAAAGTTCGAACCTAAATCCACAAAACAAACAATTAAAAGTATTAGTTGTCCGAGAGATGTCAGAGCATATTGTCACAAGACAGGCTAGCGTTGTCTAGAAAATGAGAAGGGTTTTATGGTTAGCTATAATAATTACCTCATCCGACTCGCCGTTGTTGTTAGGGTCGACGGAGTTCTGGTCTTCCATGGTTAGTAAGAGTGTTTAGCAAAGGTTATATAGTGCTTGCTTTTCCTTCTTGCCAGGTTGTGTGCTGCTGTGCCTCTGCTAGTGCTGACAGCAAGGTGCAAGTGCGTGCAAGACGTCTGTGTCGCTAGTTGGGGGTTTTAATTACAACCGCGCTGTCTGCAGGTTGTCAATGTGTCAAACCCACAGCCACACAACACCGGACGTGACGTTGCTTTCAGTTTAACCGCGCTACCTGCCATCTCATGCGTTGGTGATGAGACATCACCCTTTCCAGTGATAATGAAACCATTCATACTGCATTGCATGAGTCGAATTTCCCTAATACGGACACGACGAGGAATTCAGCACTTTCAAAGCTCTACTTCAAGTTTTCAGTGTTCTGTATGTAATAAAGACAAGCCCACACACTTAACTTTGGAGTGTCAGTATTTATAAGTACTTTTTGTGGTCATCAGTACTAATTAGGGAGATTTCGCTTTTACTTTTGAGGTAATTTTTGAAGAAAATGTATGAGAGTTTTGTCAGGGAACTGTCCGAGAAGTGGCCGGAAGAGAAGATCGACCATTCTTCAAAAGCAACCAAATTCAACTTTCTTGAACATCGCCTCGTAACAGAACCGTCGAGTAGGTCAAGGGGCGGCATTAATTTAGCCGGGGAGAAAAGGAGAACAGCATTTCAAACCCCCCGACTTTATATGCTTCAAACTGTCGATACAATGGAACCAGATTATCTTTCTAACTGAAGACATTCAATTTGTTGTCAAGCTATGACCTTAGGCTGGGGCCTCTGGAATGAGGAAATGAAGAAAAGTTTTACTTTACGTAGTAATGTACTACGGTTAGAGAGTTATTTTAGTGTGTGCTAGGGCAATTATTTTTTATCCACTTGATAAACAGGTGGCGGCTTTCAGTGTAAGGCTTTCACAGTTTCACTAAGCACTATCGTATCAGGCGGTACTCACTGCAGTTCAGTATCAAAGTGAGAGAATAATCTAATTTTTTCCATTTATATGAGTAGTCTTGAAGGCAAACACATTAGCCTAGTCCCAGGTCCCAGGCCTTCTCGCGTGACTGGATCGGTTTTGAACCGGCGGGAGAATGCGGGAGAAGGCTTAGCGAAATTTGTCAACTTGGCCTTCTCCGATCGGACCGATCCTGTAATTTGACACCCATCAAATCTACGATACACCCTTTCGATAATTACGGCATTTGCTCTGGGAGCCTCGCTCTCACGAATCGTGAGCCAATCACCTTGCGTAATTTACTAATGAGAGCGAGGCTAAAATCAAAAAGTATGTGTGATATGCACCTCGACATTTCGTGCCTCGGTCACAACCACTGTCACAACCTACGCGTCTGCGGATAACAATGAACTCTACTGGATAATTGTTAAAGATCCTGTGATACCCATGCTGATCATACAATGTTACCATTTATCCAACGCTACCCCTGTATGTATCTCATTATCAAGTATCATCCCAAAACACCCCACAGCAATCCAAAATATCCCCAACATTCCACATTTCCACGTCTAAAGAGCAAAGTACAATCAAGAACGTCTGATTTCCTGCACGACTGCACGTACTGCACGTACTATAACTTCAAATTCAAACCACAAAATGTCCGGTAAGTTTCACCCATTTTGTCCATTTTATAATACAATTACTATTTCCTAAACCTTTGTATTCTTTTCAGGTAAAAACCCATTCTCTAAACATCTTAAAACCGTCGAAGTAAACGGCAAAAATCTTCAATTTTTCGATCTTGCGAGTTTAGAAGACGAACGATATGGTAGGTTATATAAAACAAAAACTCATTGTTGCGTTTATTCAAATTATTTCTATAAAGTCTGTAACTGCCACGGTTCTAGTATTATAATGAAACCTTAAACCGCTTTATGATTCGATTCGGTCTAAATTTTACTATGTTCATATAAAATGTTACCCCTTTTTTGTTTGTATATAAAGTTTGTATTTTTATATAGTACCCTGTTACCCCAGGGCTAAAATTTATTTAATTAATAACCTACACAAATTGTTACACATATTAGACATTCGAGGTTTATCACAGGACAGCACAACAACACATATGAAATTCGTTAATACTAAAAAAGATACATAAATTCTGTCTATTTTAGGTTGTAAAAAGCACTCAATGGGATTATATAATACACATAAATACGGATTTAATTAATTAAACAATTTGCATTCCACAGGGTCATTATGTCACGTAGAAAATACCTGGTTTAGTTCAGTTTAATTAGTTTGTCACAATTTACATAATTTAACAAGTTCACTACAAGGAAACTTTACATAAGAAAAGAAAAAAATATTGCAAAACAATGAATGAAACAAACATAAGATTACAAAACAAACATAGATGTGACAGGAGAAAGGAACTTTTTTCACAGGAAAAAATTGTTCTTCCATTACAGTAATGGGTTTTTGAATGAAGATTGAACACTAGCTCAGTTTTTACATTGATAGTATACATGGTAAATATTTAAAAACCATTCAAAACCCATTAAAGGAAACCATTCAAAATCCATTAAAGGAAAATGGAAAATTTTTCCTGTATTTTGTTTTAATTACCTATTTATCACTTATTTACTGAGACCGAGGGAACACTGCTTTCACGAGGTCTCAGTAAATAAGTGTTAATTAAACACTAACTATATAACAATTCCTAGTAAGAGATACTAAACACAGTCAGGAGGCCTATATGTATGTGGTTAAATATAAGTTTTAAGTTTATTTTTGAAAACAGACACAGAGTTTGAAAACTATTGGGCATCTCCCTTGATTGAACTTAGAATGGATTTCCACTTACAGAGAAATGTTTTGCCGTTGATATATTTCGCTTGATTTCTTTTGAATTGTGACCATCTGAATAAATCGGTTCTACTTGACTGCTCAACAATTCTAAAGAAATTGTGGGGGAAATTTCGACAGCGAAATTTTTCTTGAAATTTATAAAATTGTTCACATCAGGCGTAAAAAAAAAATACCTGTGGTTCTGGTTTCATATCGCGAAAAAATTAGGGTCGATAGGTCGGAAATAATTTTTTTTTTTAAATATTTTTTTCATGGTTTTTTCAATAATTAGTGTGACAACAGACGCCATTTTGGCAGTAGCCCGCAACCACCCGGAGAAAATAGGGTCACACGGTCAATCGCATTGAAAAAATAATAGGGTTGGCAGAAAAAAATAGGGTCGGTCGGGAACCGGAACCACAGGTATTTTTTTTTTACGCCTCACCAGTAATTATATTCTAATATTCTTGTGAATTTCTATACGTTTTAGGCTTGGGCGGTTTACCGATTTTTCGTTTTTTTTCGGTTTTATTTTCAAACCGGTTTTTTCGGTTTAGCTTTTACAAAAACCGGAAAACCGTCATTACGTAATTGTTTACTGTCATCGCCTGAAACTCGATCTTAATTCTCAAAACATGACACTAATTAAACACAATTACATGACACTAGATACAAATTCTATTCTTTTTCCGTAAAGTCGGTAAGAACTAAAGAGGTATAAGTTTTCAAATGCGTTCTTGACCCTTTTATTTTAAAACTGAAGTCGTTTTAAGTTACCTTTGCACAATTTTGCATTTTGTCATGTACTGTTCGTTTGCTTATGTCAAAAAAAATACCACAATTCTTCCTCATTCAGTTGAAGTAAAAATTAAAGGGAAAAACCGGTTTTACCGGTTTAGAAGCAGACGGTTTTTCGGTTTTAATTTTAAGCAAAACCGCCCAAGCCTAATACGTTTTCTATATTTCTTTCTTTCAACAACAAAAAGTCTTTTTCTTGCTCACCCCCTTGTTGCTTGGCAACATCCCTTTTTTGAGCGCTTTTCTATTTTATTCCTAGGTGTATATTGAATGATGTTCATTAATGTTCCGACATCACAATATTATATGATAAGAAACATACTTTTCTGTGCGCTTTTCAGATAAGCTGCCATACTCTATTCGTATTCTATTGGAATCTGCAATAAGGAACTGTGATGAATTTCAAATCACGCTGAATGATGTTGAGAAGATCTTAAATTGGGAGAAAAGTCAACATGATGCTGTGGAAATACCATTTAGACCTGCTAGGGTTATCCTTCAAGATTTCACGTAATTTACGTTTGCTATTTCTAGACTAACCCATCACAGTAAGCTGCAGTATGCCAACCCTTTCTTTTAATACCTTCTGATGTTGGAGTTTAAGTAATAAATAAATAGGATGTATTAAATGTTTAAATTTTTTCAAGTAGTAAAATTTTGTAATTTTGTAGTGGTGTGCCTGCAGTGGTTGACTTTGCTGCAATGCGTGATGCCGTCAAAAGATTGGGAGGTGACCCTGCTACAATAAATCCACTATGTCCTGTTGATCTGGTTATTGACCATTCGGTACAAGTTGATGTGTCTAGAAAGTGAGTTGGGAATAGTCAATAATAATATTACCACCACCACCATTATCAATTCTACCAACATCACCATCATCTCTACGACCTAACCACCATCATCACTACCACCAACATCATCATCACTTACCACCATCATCATCACTATCACCATTATCATCACCATCATCACCATCATCATCACTACCATCAGCATCATTACCACCATCATTGTCACCACCATCATCATCATTGTCACCACCACCACCATCATCATTGTCACCACCACCACCATCATCACTACCACCTGACCAATGACCATCATCACTACCACCACCATCATTACCCCTGACCATCATCATCACTACCACCATCATCATCACTGTCACCACCATCATCACTACCACCAACATCATCATCACTACCACCATCATCATCACTACCATCACCATCATCATCACTACCACCATCATCATCACTACCACCAACATCATCATCACTACCACCATCATCATCACTACCACCATCATCATCACTACCACCATCATCATCACTACCACCATCATCATCACTACCACCAACATCATC